GTTGATATGTTTTCTCCATGTCAACCTGTCATCAAATGTGACTCCTAGGTATGTGGGCTCTTTATCATCTCTCAGAGGTATTTCGTTTATTTTGATGGTGCCGGCTTTTTGCTTTGGGGAGAGGGTGAATAGTGTGGTGCTACATTTGTCTGTGTTGATACTGACACACCATCTATTGGCCCATGCCTCAAGTGCATTTGTAGCCCGCTGTAGTGTTTTTGTGGCTATCGTTGCATGTTCATTGGTGCACCACAGTACCAGGTCGTCGGCATACGTTGCCATTTTGATTCCATTTGGTATCTCAGCAACCAGATCGTTGATAAATAAAAGGAAAAGTGTGGGCGACAGGACACCACCTTGAGGGACGCCTTGTCGCAGTAGAACTTTTTTACTTTTGAAACCATCTACCTGTACCCGGGCTCTTCTGTTATGTAGATATGCTTTAATCCAATTGTACATTTTTCCATTTATTTTATAGTTTCTCAATTTCTTCAAAAGCCCCTCCTTCCAAACCTTATCAAAAGCTTTCCTTAAATCTATCCATGCCGCGAGTACCAGTTTCTTATCTTGAAAAGCATCCTCTATTTCTTGGGAGAGGTATGTTGTCTGGTCTTCCGTAGAATAGAACTTTCTAAAGCCCGCCTGCTGTGGTGTAATGATGTTTTCACTTTCAATGTACCACTGTAGTCTGAGGTTGGTGATGCGCTCCATTGTTTTACAGAGACAACTTGTGAGGCTGATTGGTCTGTAGTTGGAGGCATTAGAACTGTCTTTCCCAGGCTTTATGAGAGGTATCACAATTGCCTCTCTCCAGATTTGTGGAACATTCCCTGTTGCCCAGCAAGCATTAAATATCTGTAAAAGCTTTGTTTTGGCTACTTTTCCTAATTTTCTAATCATTTCGTTTGATATACCATCTGCTCCTGGTGACTTCCGCATTTTCAGCTTTGAAATGGCCAACCCCAGTTCATTAAGTGTAATTGGCACCTCTAGCGCCTCTGATGTTATTTCTTTCTGACTTCTAAATTGTGTCTTTTCTTGAATTTCGTGTTTTTTCTCTGAACTGATTTCAATGTCGTTATCTAAAGCAAAAGTGTCCGCAAATAGGTTGGCTGCCTAAAGTCCTGTGACCATGTTTCCATCTTTCTGCAGCGTGATCTTTGAGTTCCACCCTGTGTCCTCATCATTAATTTGTTTCACAAGCTTCCATAACTTTCTTGTGTCTTTTTCAAAGTTCAGCGACCTTGTTTTCTCCTGCCAGCTTTCCCTTCTAACCTGCAGCTTTGCCCTTACAAATTTTGCTTTTGCATGCTGGTAGTTATTGTGATGTTCTTGGTTTGGCCTGGTCTCTGCTATCTTTCTAGATGTTTCTACTTCGTTATGTAAATTTTCTAGCTCATTACTCCAGTATGGCTTATAATGCTTACGGGCACCTCTTGGTATTGATTCTCCTGCTGCCTTTAGTACGCATTTGTTAAATTCTTTAACTACTTTGTTTATATCCTGGTCTACGCTGAGACTTCCAAGCAGTATACTGGTACGGTGCTTGAACATTGTCCATTCAGCCTTCTTGTAGTTCCACCTTGGCAGCGTACTAGTTTCTCTGACCTTCTCATTTTCTACATTCAGGAAGACCGGTCGATGGCCAGATGCTCTATTCTCACGTCCCCTGGCTCCACAGAACATTTGAGAAGGACTTCCAGTAATTTGGGTTGGGCCTCTTCGAGGCAGAGGGCCCGGCACTGCTCCTGCCTGAGAGTCCATCACAGGGCGAGCACCATAACGTTTTGCTGATATAGACATATTTCCATGGCGTGTATACGTGGCATCCTGATTGCTGTTGTGCGCCTCCTGGCTGGTTGCCTCCGACTTCAGCACCTTGTTTTGCTAAGGTAGACTGTGATCATACTCGAGATAGTAGGCTCATCCATTTGTCTTTCGCCTTTACCTCGTTTGTTGTCCCATCCAGTTTCCCGCTGGGGGTTGAGACCCCAACCTTCAACTGGATTGCTGGGGAGAACAGGGTCCGCCACGTGAAGGTGAGGTAGGCTTGAGCAAGAGAGGCTAATAGACATTAAGAGTCTTGTATTGCGCATCATTGCTCCATTTGGACCCCGTTAATGCAGATGAAACTTTCTCAGAATAAGTAGTATAAAGGACACTTTCTTGGATTGGTTGATGCCGTGAATGATGCAGATGAAACTTTCTCAGAGTAAGTGGTATAAGTGGAACTTTCTTGGATTGGTTGATGCCGTGAATAATGCAGATGAAACTTTCTCAGAGTAAGTGGTATAAGTGGAACTTTCTTGGATTGGTTGATGCCGTGAATAATGCAGATGAAACTTTCTCAGAGTAAGTGGTATAAGTGGAACTTTCTTGGATTGGTCGATGCCGTGAATAATGCAGATGAAACTTTCTCAGAGTAAGTGGTATAAGTGGAACTTTCTTGGATTGGTTGATGCCGTGAATAATGCAGATGAAACTTTCTCAGAGTAAGTGGTATAAGTGGAACTTTCTTGGATTAGTTGATGTCGTGAATAATGCAGATGAAACTTTCTCAGAATAAGTGGTATAAATGGCACTTTCTTGGTTAAGTTGGTGCAGATGAAACTTTCTTAGAATGTGGTATATGCGGCGCTTTCTAGGATTAGTTGGTAATGGAAATTGAATTTTCTTAGATTAGTTCAGACAACATTTGCTAAAGTTAATTGATGCAAATTGCACTTTCTTTGATTAAACGTTGCGGATGGCTCTCTCTCTCAATTAGCTGATGCAAATTGTGTGTGTGTTTTTTAATTAATCCTGTTAAAGAGTTAGCCATTTGGTATTGTCTGTAGTGACCGAACAAAACGGACGTGATTCGGCGAGCTCTGTTCACATTTTGAGAACCACTGTAAGAGGAAAGTAGGCATGTAGAATCGGGGAGGGGCTTAAGTGCGCTCAATCAATCAGACAGCGTGTCTTTATTGTCTAGAAGTGGGCTTTAGGGGATTTGGCCTGTCAACGACATGTTTACGCGGCGCGAAAGAATGCCCAGTTGGTGTTTTTTTTTTTTAAATATCCAGAAACCATGAGTTGTTAACCCTGGGCTCGGTGCTACTTTGGCTCGGTGCTATGTTTGTTTGTTTGTTTGTTTTAGTATCCAGAAGCCTTGAGTTGTTAACCCTTAGGCTCGGTGCTATGGATATCGCAACCCTTCGGCCTTGATTCCAGGATAGATGCCGTATATCTGGGAGAAATGTGGCTTTTCTGCCCACCCCGTGAACCCGGACCACAAGGGGTTCGTCACCCGGTCGCCGCGAAGTCAGGTTTAGCCAACTACGCTAGCGAGCTGCTCGAGTTGGTGTGTATGAACGTGGTCAAGCAACCAGTGAAAGACGGTGTCGTATGGGGGAATCAGAGAGAGGTGAGGGAGGAGGACTTCTTGGGGGAAGGGGGGGGGGGGGTAGGAGGGAAAAGGGATGGACAGATAAAGGGACCAGAAAGGAGGGACGGAAAGTGCGTGTACTGAGAGGAGAGGGAAGGGGGAGAGAGACAGTGGTTTACAATTTGGGTGGGATAAAATAACAGCAACAACAACAACTTCTACTACTACTACTACTACTACTACTACTACTACTACTACTACTACTACTACTACTACTACTACTACTACTACTACTACTACTACTACTACTACTGCTGCTGCTGCTGCTGCTGCTGCTGCTGCTGCTGCTGCTGCTCCTCCTCCTCCTCCTCCTCCCCCTCCCCCTCCTCCTCCTCCTGCGGCGGCGGTGGCTGCTGCTGCTGCAGCACTTTCCCTTTGATCGCTTCAGGTGTCGAAGGTGGATACAGGTAACTGAGGATACATTAACTGCGGAAACACCTAGGGCTGGAGAATTGGCTAGAGAAGGAGGTGTGCCATTCAAAAAAGAGGGAGAGAGACGTTTTCTAAAGTACATGTTGGCGACTGTAAGTAAATGACCCTTTTCCACGCCTTTAGGCGTATAGGGCATATAGGGCTAGACCTATATATTTTATAGACCAACCGGCACAAGATGGGTGATGTGGTCATCATCACGCCGGCTGCCTCTACTTCCCGGGACTGCACCCGGTACCCACTCAAGGCTGGGTCGACCTGGGAGCCAAGGTCATTTTTGAAAAAAGTCCGGCTCCGCCAGGTAGCGAACCCATGACCTTCCGATCCATAGCGAGCGACTAGCCGCTCCGCGACGGGGTGGTTTTCCATATCGACGCGTATAGTATCCGGTTGGTGGTTGACCTTCGAATTATTAGAGGGTTCACTGGTCTCTGCTAATTCGGAACCACTCTAATGAATTAAAAAAAAAAAAAAAATGACGTGCTTGGTAGTAGTTGGAAAAGGGGGGGGTGTTTATTCTGTGTTTTCCAAATCGAGCGATATCATGAAAAACACAGCGCCAACACTGACGTCATCTGCTGCACACGTCACATAACACAACTGTGCTGCCATAGCTACAACATGCGCACGCGCACAAAAACTGGCCGACTGCAGTGCTTACATTCTTCCAACTCCAAGATAAGATACCACCACCCCTTCACACGCACTTTTTTTTTTCTTTTTTTGATGACGCTCAAAGCTCGAACTTCAACCAGTGATCAAAATCTCAACAATTTCTTAAAAAATCGATTTTCTGGCAGACGTGAACTGTCAGAAACCCTCGTATTAGTATACTAGTCTACACTGGGCGGTTCCTTGAGCTCTCCCGCGTAGTTATCTATCAGGTTCCTTGTGGCATTTATTGAAGGAAAAAAAAAGTATTATCGTAATCCGAGGGACAAGAGATGTCTACGTTTGTCTTGTCGACGTTTTCAGCCCAGTAGATAGCGGCGTTTATTCAGCCAGTCATAACGGTATCACGTGAAATGATTGATGAATACGGGGAGATAAAACCGAGCAGACACCTTATGTACATATATTGCCATTGATTTTTATTTAATTTTTTTTTTTTTTAGCAGTCACTTTTATTTCTAGTTCATCACTACAATACAAATTCAGGGAATTCGAAAGTCACATCTTTGCCAGTCAGCTTCTTGTAAACAGATGTGATTGTCTCCAGCTTGTGCTCCACGTTGTTTTGTTGTTGTTGTTTTTTTTTTTTTTTAAATCCAAATAAATCTTGGAACCTTCCAACATGACTCGCATGCGTTTGTCAACAATCTCAGCTTGGAATCATTAATCCTCTAAAATAGCATCATTTACAGCTGTCAGTGTTATCTGGTAATCTAAGTTTCAGCTTCATAGCAAACAGGTCCCCCTATCTTTGCTCCGCTCCTGTGCCAACGAAGAACACACAGAATGTTTATCACAGTCCCTTGTGGGGAGGTTGACAGACTGCTGTCTCAGCAAATCAAGCATTCACACGCATTAAAAGCATACGGTAGCCATCCGAAGTGCTAACACAAACAGTCCGACATTAGAAATGCAGTTCATCATTGATGGTAGCAGAAGTCACGAAAAGATCTGCAGCTGCCCATGCGATCAATTTTAATCACATACTGGTCCCACCAATATTGCGACAACCGGCATCGCGCCATTTCCTGAATCTTCAAATCACACAACCACAGCTGTCAGTGAAGGGCTTCTTGGTCTCTCTTGCTTGTTCACCCTCTTGCTCATCCTTGTAGCCTTGATCAAAATTCTTCTCTGAGCAATAAAGAAAGCAGGCTTGCCATTAAACATCTTTTCAAGTTCTCTAACCAGACGGGTTTTGATTTTCTGATAAGCCTTCAGCTGAGGGACTGGAACGATAAATGACGATGGCCTTTTTGCCTTGAACATCAACCTCCTTGGCTCCAACGAAGAACAATTCATAAAGAGATGCCTTCATGTCAGAATGCATCTCAAGCCCCAGGAGAGCCTGACTGATGGAAGATACAGTTTCATCAGGCATTTCCCTCTGTGGCTTGACTGTCTTTGCACTAGTCGAATACATCTTCTAGGCCACCAGTAATCGGAAAAGCACATCTTGTCATTGATTGGGAGCAGCGTATATATATATATATATATATATATATATATATATATATATATATATATATATATATATATATATATATATATATATATATATATATATATATATATATATATATATATATATATATATATATATAATTTATTTGTGGATAGTATGTGGAAACAAGTGTGAGTGGGTGGGTGTGTGTGTGTGGGAGCGGGGGTGGCTGTGTGTGTGGGTCAGGGTAGGTGTGTGTGTGTGTAATTTTTTTACGTGTGTGTGTGTAGGTGTATATCAATATCATTGTGTTCCGGCGTGCGGGCTTGTGCGCCATGGGCTGACAGTCCACCCTGTATGATAATGTTGTGGTAGATGTTGTACTGTTAGATCGACGGCACACATACAGGCTAGTGGCATAACCTTTGCAGGGCGCCCCTAAACTAGCCCAGGCATTTATTGGCTATTTGTGGTTATACCAAACACGTTTAAGTTCGCCCGTTTGCAGTTTTTCTCGGCACTCCTATGACAAGATATGGTACTTTAATTTTAATACGACAGCGTCTCGTCGGCTTCGAGATTTGGTAGGGAAATCCCAGAAGGTTACATAGTATATTGAGGAGTGGGGGGGGGGGGGGTATGGTTGGGATTAGTAGTAATCGCTATTCGTTTAACACTAGCCCTAACCCCCGCCCCCTATAATATGGTTCTGTCCAGGGAACACCCCAAGGATCCTTAGGAATTCCCTACGAAATCTCGAAGCCAACGAGATGTGGTCGTCTAAAATTAAAGATCCCAGACTGTTTACGACCCGGTTAGGCAAACAAAAGTCACTCCGTTTTAAAATGTCCTCGCTCTTTGTCATTCACATTAAAAAATGTTCGTGTATTCTAGATAAAGCATTACGGTCGGCTGTGTTTGTAAATTGTTGCTGTGTTTTGTTTTTCGACCTTTGCTTGGGTAATGTATATTTATGTAACATATGGTGCCATTTCAGTGGTTTGAAAAGAGTTATGTCCGTATTCCATGTTTGTGGATTTCAAGCTGTACGATAGACATGGCCAATGAAGACACCTTTTTCTAGGGGTGCTTAGTTGGTCATGTTCTTAGTACACCTGTTTCCATAGCGAGGCACACATGCCATTCGGAAATGACAGGTTCAATTCCCGGCACGGTAACTATAACTTTCGTTTTTATGTTGTCTAGTTTGTCATTCTCTTTTTTTTTTTCTTCTTTCATGAGTGTCGATCAGTATATTGTCTGTTTGTTTATATATATATATAATATTCCCTTTATCAGCGGCTGTGGCTTAGACGTTGGGAACATGCTTCGTCATGACAGAGGGCCGGGTTCGATCCCAGCGATTTGGCAGCAGAACGTCTCTTGCAGTTATTTCGGCAGTAGTACTGAGAGATGACGACGGTTAAGAGAGCAGTGGCAAACTGCTGAACTTAAAATGTACCTAGACAAACCACAACAGGCAGCAGAATGCTGGGGTTGGTTCTGCAACGCCCTGTAAAGGATACGCAACTAAGCTAACTCTACTTGTACATTTACTTACTGTACTAACAGGCGTGCAATCACCACAGTGGACCTTCATTGGGTGATGAATTTCGATAAGTTTCACCCCTTCGCCGATTCAGCGAACGGATAACAGAATGCTACTCCTCTTTGGTGCGTGCCAGAAGTGGGACGGCCATCTTTATACCGTCCTTATGAAGTCACCCTGTTCATTTGCACCGCGCTGTCACCTGCTTTTCGGGATTGACATCCTTATCAACAGTATTGACGGGCTACCAGACATTGGCATGGCTGTTATAGTTTCTGTTACATTTTTGGAAAGCTTTTCATTGGCGCTCCTTCATATTTCACTTGGGAACCCTCAAGGTTCAAGGGGATCATAGTGTGCTGACGATGATGATGATAATGATGATGATGAATGTCATACCCGAAGGCTTCTATAGCGCAGTGGTTAACACATCAGCCGGCCAGCCCGGTGGCCATGATTTCAAACCCCCATCTAAACGACGATGTAAAACAGAATCGACATGGGCAAAAGTATGCCGACTTGGGCACAAATGGGTGCCGGAACATGCTTTAGGAAGTAAAGGCGGCTGTTGTGGTTTACACCGCACACACATGCGCTAACGCGCACATACACACGCGCGCAGTCATATGTAAACTCTACAGTACAATGAGTAATATTAAGTAATTGCAGACACTGTGTGAATGTTTAAACCTGTTGAATTGTAAAAACATCACACCTTTAAAAAAAAATAGATTAAGCAACCAGAATCCCCATGTATATGCTGGGGGAGAAGGGGTGGTGGGGGTGAATACACCTACTGTCCTTCTGACATGCATGTTGTAAAAGGCGACTAGTTAGCTACGGCCCACAGGTTGAAGAACACTTGTAAATAGCATTTAAGCTCATTACGGCTATGAATAGTGTTGTTTGTCAGTGTTTTCCAAAATTTTCTTAGTACCGGCGCCTTGTTTTAATTTTAAAAAAAATTTATTTTCTTCGGCGCCCTAACCTAAGTAAAAGTATGACTATACGTATGAAAGAGATTATAAAACTGGTGTATCTTCGAATATTTCGCGGCGCCCTGTGAAGATGACGCGGCTCCCCGGGGCGCCGCGGCGTACAGTTCGGGAATCACTGTTATATGTTATAATTGCAGCTAGAAGTGATTGTATATGGTAGTATACTTGTCATTACAGTTATTTATTTGTCCAATTCGCCTTTAAGTTCACCGTTGCTCCCATGTTCACAGCTTAGAACTAATGTTATATATTGTTATGGTTGCCGGTAGGTGAGTTGTTGAAGCCGTATATTGTTGCAGGCGTATAGAGTTATTGTTTTTCCAGGTTGTATTTAGGTCCCATTTAGCTACCTAATTTGCAGGTCGAAAAATTGCTATTTGTCCTCATCACTCACTGCCAGATGATGAAACTGTTGCTTCTGTAGTTGTGATCGTAGTAGTGAAAGTAGTGGTGATAGAAGTAACAACAGCAACAACCACACAGGCAAAAGTTCCAGCCGAGCTACATGCCTTGTTATTGGTTGTTGTTGGTGTCAGTGTTGTTGTAGTTGTCACGGAAACCACGGTGTTCTGTCTTTGTGATGGCGCGCAGTTTTGGGCGCTTGGGATCGTCACATTGGTGGTTGTTACGCATGATGATTGCGTGTCTGGTGGTGGCATATGGTTGATTCGTGTTGTAGTTGTTGTAGATGTGGGAGCCTCGTTTGCTGTTGCCATTGGTGTAGTTGTGGTGCTGTTACTAGGTAAACAGCTGCTTTTCAGTTGTGGTATAATGGATGTTAGCGTGGAATTTGCGTAAATTGAAAGAACCCTACACGTTGGCGGTTCACTTGTTGCATGGTCCAGAAGATACTCTGCCAGCCAGAGTTGATCGCACTCGCATCTCCAGTGCATGTTTCCGCTCAGATCGATATTGACATTATTACTTGTGATCCAGTCCTTCATGGAGGCTGGAAGGAGATTTAACCCAGCTTGGCTAAAATTAAGATTGTCAATTTTACATCTCTTGAAAGCATCAGCTTCAATATACATTTGGGTGTGTCCGTTTCCTGCAAGCTTCAGGTTGGTTATGTTACATCCAGTGAAGGCACCTTTGTTGATTTGAAGAGAAGATTGCAGGTTGCTTAAATCTAGAGTCTTTACTGTTGCTGACATGAAAGCTTCCTCTTCAATCTCAGATATAGGGTTACCTGCAAGGTATAGGGTCTCTGCAACCACACCGCTGAACATTTGGCGTGTTATCTTGTTGATTTTATTATCTCTGATGTCTAAAGTTTTCAATGAAGAAATGTCTTTAAATAATTCAAATGGTATTGTTGTCAAGGACATATTGTTCATGAGAATCGTGGTCAGTTTCCCTAGTGATTTGAAAAAGTCCGGTTCTATTGTCGTTACTGGATTGGAGGAAAGGTTTAGAGTCTCCAGATTTCCTAATCCTTGAAAATGGGCTGTTGTTAGAGAAGTCAGTTTGTTTTCAGCAAGGTTCAATGTCTTTAGCGAAGTTAGAGCTGCAAAATTATTGTCCAGTAGTAAAGATATGTTGTTGTTTGACAAGTCGATGTCCTCGAGGTTAACCAGTGGCTGAAATATAGAGCTCCCGGTGCCTGGAAGTATGTTGTTAGCCATTGACAGTCTGTTCAAGTTTGTGTTGTGTGCGAACACATTCCCAGCGAATTTAAGCAGGCTGATGCCATCAAGGATGAGTGTCTGTAGATTGGTAAACCTGTTGAGGTGTATCGCAGCAAGCGTGTGCGCTGATGCCAAAAATGAACAGGGTCCTGTTATAGGTAGAATTGCGAGCTCAGTCACATTGTCTGGAATCCTATGGTCAGTTGGACACACTGAACACACATACGTTGTCCCACTACACACAGAACAGTCTGCAATGCTACACGTCTGCTGCGCCGATACAAGTAGTCGATGAGAATCCCAGTGTAGTAGTACCAACAACGCGGTCAAACAAACAATATTCATCTTGCACATTCTTGTCGTCTGTGACTATGAGCGTTCTTTGATGTTGGGTGTGGTTGAACTGCCGGCGGTTTAGCTTTGTGTTAATTTCGACGACGATGAGAGTTTTGAACCTCCACCTACTAGCGGTATTGAACTATTGAACGTAAAATTGCTTAGTGAAAACCACAAATAGTCAATAAATTATGGGGCTGCTTTGCGGCACCCTGTATAGCGTATACGATTAAGTTGTAAACATTCCTGTCCTACCGCAGAGAAAGATAGAAAGCCGTACTCTTGCTTTCAGTGTCATATATTTGGAAGCTGTCAAGTGTTACAAGTCGTCTACCTGCTGCTCGGAACATCCTAAGACACTCTTTGTCAAGAATTAAACTCGCTGATTGAAGACTTGCTTTTGTATAGGTCAGTGGTCGCACAAAGACTGCATCTGGATGATTCTGATGAACTCTCTGGCAAGAATGTGTTTGCTGTATCTAAATCCGTATTTTTATAGACAGTGGTCGTCCAGAAAGTTTGTATTGTGGCCACGGATAACAAGTAGTTGATCACAAAGCAGGGGATTTCTGACATAGTCAAATACCTGTCTCATTCTTGTCTTTGGTAATCCGTATTGTCACGAACACAGCGGTACATTCTTCTTTATCTTAGAGGAGCAGTTTAGACGAATTATAGATTGGATCTTAACTCCACTAGAATAATATAGAAATCGACGTTTTAAGTGATTTTTGCATTGGGGTATATTGGCCTCGCGGATTAGTTTATACCCATGGTTTATCCTGTTGTGCGGAATGATTCGCTAATATTACGCCACTTAAGGTCCTTTTTCAGGGCTGTAATGTCACCACTTTACAAAATGCCAAAAGCACACATTTGAATTTATACTGATGAATCGGTCACAATAAAGTATTACTTTTCACGCAACTTCAAAATTTTCATTCTTCCTCTCCTCGTCCTCCGTCTCATCATCGTCCTCCTTCTCCTCCTCCTCTTCTTCTTTTTTATTGTCCAATCGGCACTCGGTGGATGATGTGAACATTCACCCCGGCCACCTTTACTTCTCATACATTTACCTGGTACCCAGTTTAGGCTGGGTCGACGAGTCCGCCAAGGTCAGTTTGGAAGGCGGTAGGGATGAGGATTCTCAAACTAGGTGCCGCGGCACCCAGGGGTGCCGCCAGCGTATGCCAGAGGTGCAGCGGCAATATCGACGGATTTGTCCAAATCTGCTTGAGATCAGCGAAGACAGCAGTTGAAAACAGGAAGACCGTGAAGGAAGCCAAGAAGAGTTCTGGATGCAGGTGTACACTGAAGACATTGCTAATGACACGGCTGCAGTGCATTATCAATGTGCGCTTACACACGCACACACACACGCGCGCACACACACACACACACACACACACGCGCGCGCGCGCACACACACACACACAGAAAACAGATACAGGAGCAAACTTTCTGGGTCAAGTGATATGATGGTTAAATTTATCAATTTTTATTTATGGCATTAAAAAAAAAAAAAATAAAAGTGCTGTTTTTTTTTTCTTTTCCGAAGTATTCAAACCACTTCAAGGGTAGGTGTGCCGCGAAATAAATTTAGCCCGATAACGGTGCCGCGGCGAAACAAGTTTGAGAACTGCTAAAGTAGGCAACTGGCTAGGAAATAACACTATAAGGAAAGTATACCATGTGAATCTTAAACACATAGAAACCGATGATGACAGAAGTGAGACAGGAATCAAAAAGAGAATAGAAATGACGAAACGATCTTCAGTAAGATGTGAAAATGACTGACAGCTTGAGAGATAAACAACACATTCAAATGTTGTGCATGTTCAACGTGTTGGATGGCAAACAAGCTTGGACAGTGAAATGGCAACCAGAAAATATAACTGAGTATCTGGTAATGTGGTTAAGTGGATATGACAATATGTCGTTTGGCGTGTACACAAAAACAGTCCAATATAAAGATTGTGGGGGCACTACGAATGGAAAGAATCGCTGAAAAAAAAAAAGAAAAAAGGTGGGCGGGGGAGGGAGGAAAAGTATTTTTGCCTCACTAAAAGACATAATGCGCTTTTAAAAACAATACTGGGGGGACTGGTCGAGGGCAAGAGAGTAAAAGGTAGACAGCGATATACGTGGGAAGACAACCTGAAGAAATTGACGAATGCCAGTGTGGTAGAGTATACAACCAAGACAAGAGATGGGGCGTGTTGAGGATCCACTGCAGACAACCTTCAGTGTGGAGACGTTACCTGATTGATTAGGACTATGTTAATAGAAACCAATAAACGCATGGTGGGTTTCGAACGAGTTAACAAAATAATAACATTTTAGGTAACTGACCAAACCACTAAATCATTAACCACTAATATAACCAAGGTAAAGGCGAGGGGATCGACTTCATTGCACCGGATTTTATTCCAAATGGCTGTCTTCCTACTCAGAACAGCTAGCTGCCTACCAAGTGAGTCGCACAGAGCACGACCTCCGTAGCTCCGGTGACGATCCCCGTGGATTTCCCTTCTCTCTGTTTCCCCATCCTCCAAGACAACCAAGCAATCAACCAGCTAGTCAGTTAAAATGTGCTAACTTTTCTTTCTGAGTGTAAAATGAATTGAAGTACCACAAATTATAAAACAAATTATAACACAAATTATAACACAAATTATAACACAAATTATAACACAAATTATAACAGTTCACGGTGTATCACTTTGAATTTACTGCTCTGAATTAGCACCAAAGTAGAAGAAAGCACGTTCTAATATGGCGTGTTCGTAATGACTACTGACCCAGCACACATAAATAATTCAAAGTATGTGCTGTTTCGGTGATGAAGGCTGGCTATAATGATGATGAAAATGATGGTCATTGTGAAAACGATGATGATGATGATGGTGATGATATTGATGATGGTGGTGATGATATTGACGATGGTGGTGATGATAAACTCCCAGTTGTGATAGTAATAGAACCATGACTACTGGACGCTAGTCTGGTTCCTAATGCATGCATAGATGTCACAGCACTGTTACCTGTGTGTACCCCAATATCATGCTTGTCTATTTTTTGTCCTGCCCCTTTTCGGATGGCTTGAAGGATGAATTATTTCGCCTTCTGTGCTGATTCGGCTACTTGTCAGTCCATCTCTTCCTTGGTCTTTCTCGCGGCTTCCGTCCAGGTATTCTTCTATGGAAGGTCTCATTACAACGTTGCCAAATCACGCACAGTCTGTCTTTCGATGTGTAACAGTCACCCTCTTTTCCTAACCGTCTCTCTACTCTAATTCTTATGTTTGCGACCTTGTTACTCCCTGTATCGGAGACCCATCGGAAACCACATTTCATAGCTGCTTATTTTATGTTTATGTATTCCACCGTTTGTGCATGTTTGGAACTGATTTCAACAAATAAAAATGCAATTGCTATATGCTGTTTTGCTGGAAGAGAGACATTTTGGTGTTTGAACAGTGGAGCTGTCTGATAGCCGACAGCTTTTGCAGTCAACAAATAATAATAGAGGGGAAAAAAAAAAAAAAGAAACTACAGTTACGTAAGGCCTTTACAAATTAAAATAAAACATTTCCTTGAGACTATCACAAACATAAAGCTGCAAAATTTCCATATGGCTGTTACACAGATAAAGATAAGGACATTCTTTGGAAGCAGTATTTCAACAGCCTATGGAGATATTTTGGCTTTATCATCCGCAGTTTTGTTTATACGACACGATTTCGCACACATTCCCCTCCCAATATTGTCTCCCCCCCCCCCCCCCATTAATGCCTCTGCAAGTTACAGTGATTAATGTCTATCATATCGGTGGCGTCACCAGTATGTCTTGATTGGAGGCAGTCCGTACATACCTCGGTCGCGAAGGTCGAAGCTGGAGGATCTGATCTTGTTACTTCGTTTACTTTTCTTGTAGAATATACAGGCCGTGACCATAGCCACACAGGCCAGGCAGAGGGCCAGGGTGCACATGATGCCTAGGACAACGGGGATGTAGTCAACACCGTCGTCTGCGTTGCTGTCTGTGCCTTCTTTCTTTGAGGGTGATGTTGTCGTGGGAGATTGGGACGACAGAGTGGTTTGTGTTGTAGCAATTGATGTTTGTGTGGCGGGAGTTGGTGAGCTGGTCGTTGCGGATGTTCGTGAAGTTGGGGTTGAGGTCGAAGTTGAAGAAGTTGTGGTAGTGGTTGCTGTTAAAGAAGTTGTGGTAGTGGGTACAGATGTTGTTGGGGGAGTCGATATTGTAGTGTTCGCCGCTAGAGTAGTTGTCGTAGTTGGTGGTGGTGGCGATGTTGCCAGCGTTGTTGATGCTTCAGTTGATTGTGTTGCAGAAGTTGGCGTTGTAGTTGTGTCTGTTGTTGATGAAGGCACTGATGTTGTCTCAGTCGTTGACGCTGTGGTCGATGCCGTTGTTGGTTCAGTTGAAGTCGTTGTTGGATGCAAACAGTAAACCTTCAACTGAAACATTGCAGCTGCCAGCGTGGCTCCACCGTATCCAGACGCTGCTCCACAAGTGGGCGATCTACTTTTGAGATTGGACATTAGATAGTTTCCTAGCCACTGGTCATCACAGTTACATGTCCAGTTTTTGTTGGCGCTCAGATCTATGCTGGTCTGGCTACTCCCCAACCAGCCTTCCATTGACTTAGGAAGTGATGTCAATCCAGTGTTGGTTAAGATTAATGTCTTAATCACACTACCCTGGAAGGCACCAGCCTCGATGCTGGTTATTTTATTGCCGCTGAGGTCTAGGGTATCAATGTTCACGTTATTAAAGTCATGGGTAACGAAATTTTTGTTGTACTGATCAGGTTTTATTGAGCGGGGGAGAGATGATAGCTGAGATCCACTGTGTGGTAAGTTTGTCAGTGGCGGTTCTATGGTGAGCGCTGTTAAAAGATTCTCTAAAACTGCGATGGCGTCGGAGGGAGCTACAGTGAGTTCATTGTTGGATAAGTCCAGTTTGTCCAGAGAAGTTCCTTGCAGGCTGTCGATGCT